CAAGGGCTTCGCGGCCAAGTGACACAGATCGCCGCCTCGCTCGACTCCTGCAGGACGGTCGAGTGGGGCTACGGCGAGCAGTTCCAGTTCTTGCACGATTCCTAGTTCGTGTTCCTCGACGGGTGGATCATCACTGGGCAGCTCCAGTGCAGGTCCGCGAGACAGCACGAGTACGCAGTCTTCCCTTTCCTCTCCCTCTCTGCCAGTCTCGCCATCATTGGGTGAATCGTCAGTGGACCTGGATCCTACTATTGATTCGGATGGGGAAGCTGTGACCTCTTTACTTTTTGGGAATGTCACGTGCATGAGTGACAAGATATGGAAGTATCTAATCAGTCAGAAGGAGGCGCATTCACTATTTGCAGTTGCCGAGACACACGTATCTCGGAAGGGTCTTCGTAGATGGGATAAGCTTGCACGAGGTGAGGGACTTCGATTGCACGCCAATCCTGCTCGTGAGGACCATCAGTTTCGCACAGTGGCTGCCAGTCAGGAAGCTCGAGCCAATGAAGGGGGAGAGTGGATCGCCAGTCGAGGCCATTTGCAGGTGCGCAGTTTTGAGACTATGTGCAGCACACAAGTCATTCGAGCAGGTGAAGGACGAGTTCTGGACGGGATGATGCCCGTCGTTGTCCACATGGCTGGATACACCTTCGTCCTAGTCTGCTTCTATGGCATCAACTCGATGGGCTTCACAGGGCCCAACCTCATACGCTACCAGCGCCTTGGCGCATTTCTGCATGCCCTTCAGTTGCCGTGGGTGGTTGTGGGGGACTTCAATGTCCCAGCTGCAGCGGTCACCAAGTCTGAATTCGCAGCCCGAGTTGGAGGGCACGTGCTGGCTCCCGACGTTCAATACACGTGCGACTCGGGAGTGAACGGCAGCATGATCGATTTCGTTCTGTGCAGCACGTCGGCGCTCTCGTACGTGAAGGCAGTCAGGCCAGTCTTCTCGGTCCCCTGGAAGACCCACATCGGCATCGAGGTGCAGGTCAGGCAGGCAGGGGCACAGCTGCTCTCGCGCTCGCTTGTGCTGGCATCCAAGTTGCCTCAGATGGCTCGCCCTGGCACAGAACCGACAAGCGGGTCTAAGGCCAGCCGGGCTCGCGCACAGCGAAACATTGCTCGGCAGGAGGCGGCGGCGAAGCGTGAGGAAAAGTATGATCAGTTGTTCAGTGATTGCCTTGTCGCCCTCAACCCCACTTCCAGGCCCTTGGCCAGCAGTGACACGACCGACGTCGGTGAGGCGTTCGAGGCTGAGTCGTTCTGTTCCGAGGAAGACCCGTGGGCTGATGAGTTTAATTTCGCTTCGACACGGGATGAGGTTACCCTTGAATCCCCTGGAGTTTCAGGATCAAGTTCGAGTACGGACGGTCAGACGAACACGCTGGCTCCTGGGGGTGGTCTCGGGGCCTCGTCGGTGCTCCTGGGGACTCCCTCGTGTTCGTCGGATTTCGGTACCGAGCCTATGGTCCTTAATTCGACCCAGTCCTCTAGCCAGCATAGCAGCGTAGAAGTTGTTCCTTATAATATTCCTGCTGAGTTGTGGGAGGCCCAGAGAGCCTCGGTAGGTTTCCAGAGTTTC